GCTATGCGGGCTCGTGGAAAAGCCCGCCCCGCCTGCAATCTGACCCGTGCTCATTCCACGATTCACCCGTCACTGACCGACCATAGGGTGTTTGTTGCCCTACCAAAATTTAGTCCCTATCACATCGAATATTTAGACACATGCATAGAGTATTCAATATAGAATGATTACGAAACTAAATGCACGGATTGATGCTAATTTACGAGATGAATTTAATAAGCCTAATTAGTACATGATTTGACAATGTGACGCTACAGTAAGCATGTGCTAATAACGGATGAATTATGCTTAATTAATTCGCCTCGCGGAGTACTGACTGTAATTTATTTTTTTATTAGTATGCGAATACCTCACGCGACCCCTCATGTGACATCCGATCTGATACCTCTTAAACTTTAGTCCCTGCATCAAATAAAATTAATTGTACAGATTGAGACTAATTTATGAGACGAATCTATTAAGCCTAATTAGACTCATGTTTAGTCTTTCTAATTAATGGCCCCGTTCGGCTTGCTGAAATTGACTGAAAAACACTATTTTGACTGTGTTACGAGAGAAAAACACTGTTTCGGCTGAAAAAAGAAGACGAATAAATCGGATACGGTGAAAGCCGAGCGGGCCATCCAAATAGCTGATGTGACAGTGCTGTCTGCTGCTGCACTGGCGATCGGATGGACATGGACGCGGCAAGCTGATGCGACGCAGCCCATGTCCATGGATGCAAATGCAACAGCACTGCTGTCTGCTGCTGCACTGGCGATCGGATGGACATGGACGCGGCAAGCTGATGCGACGCAGCCCATGTAGAGTAGACTGTAGTGCCCCCGTGTGGGCAGGCAGGACGGAGTACTAGACTCCTCCGTCAATAGATGCATGCATGCATGCATGCAAGCCACGACGAGGTGGCCGGCCCGCCGCACGGCCCTGCGCGGCCAGGCCCGGCTCTGGGGTAGGGGCAGCCATGAAGCTAGGGGGCCCAAGAGTACACATGTAATTAGTAGAAGGATTAGGCATAATAAGCCTTTAAAGGACGAACAAACATCCCGTCATTATCTATTATGAATTAAATATATGCTCCAGATTAATTTTTATTATTCGTACTATATATTTTAATTTTTACATTAGAAAATTAGTTCAACGGGCCTTTACCTTTTTGCTTGTCCAAGGGCCCTTAACATTATATAGCCGGCCCCCTGTGCGCGGCGCGGCGTAGTTTACTCCTACTGTTACCGCGTGTGGCTGCAGCCGTCCGAGTGGGGGCAGCGCGCATTTACTGGGCGAGTGTGAAGTGTCCGGCGTCGCTGTCGTTGCAAGGAGTGATTGCTGCGATGCATGCATGTACCCCCGTGTACCACTCGGATCGGTGTGCAGGCATGGGCGGCGTGGGCAGGGAGTCTGGGCGTACGTCTGCCGCTCCGATCCGTCCGTAGGCTTCCAGTTCCAGGCGTAGGGAGGGTGGTGGTAAGTGCTTGTGAGGGGCCTCCTCTCAGTACTCAGTCCACGAAAGCATCTATGGAGCCAATGCCGCCACCGTGGATCGCTAGTACGCTAGGTAGGTGATGGCGATCAGATAAGATCGTCGGAGGCCCGAGGTCGGGTGGTGGGTCCCGTTGGTCAGATCAGTGACGGACGCGCTGTTGCGGTTGCGGTGCGCCAACAAGAGAGAACAAAACGAGCAGAAGGCGACCTCTTTTTCGCCCGTCATCATATCTCATCGTCCATTGTTTAAAAAAAAATCATATCTCATCGTCTCAGAAACAAGAAAAGCCAGCGTAGCCCGCTGGCTGCGCACTTTTGCATGCAATGCGCGCGGCCGGCTCAGTTTGTTTCAAGCAAGCGTCTGGAATTGGGCTCAGAAAAAAAAAGGCGCACCCACTGTGCGGTTTCAAAAGTTTTGAATCCCTCACGGAGTAGTCTGTAGACGGATCGCAGGCGCAGCCGCGGCCCCGGATAAGAGTATACGGCATGAAAATAAATGGGAGCGGGGCACGGCCCTGCACGCTGGTGAATTGTGATGCACGCACGCACTCACGCCGCGGCGGTGCGCGCAGCGCAGGTGGGGGTGGGGAGGCGTGGTCACGCTCGCCTCGTGCTAGGCCGGGGGGTCCAGCTCAGCTGCAACCGCCCAAGCCGGCTCCGCCCCGGCGCAACACGGCAGGTGAGGCTGCCGACGAGTGCGGTTGAGGCCACGGCTCGCACGGCGCGGCGCGCGTGAACCCGCTCGTAGCCTCGTACGCACGGCACCCCCAGCGACGCGCCGATCCGGGGGTGGGGACTGGGGAGCAGAGGGCAGTTCGGTCTCAGTGCGGTGCAGGCAGGTGCAGAGGATCCATGGGTCGGCCGGCCCGGCGCGGGGAAGCAGCTCGGCACCGGGGAGTGGCGCCGGGGATGGGTCACGTCCTCATGGATCAGTGCCTTGCTTTCGTGACGACGATGATGACAGGGCCGCGGGTGGGTGCCGGGTGCGAGGGTACTCCACACGAGACGGCTTTGCTTTCGACCCGCGCGGGCGCGGAGCACGGGCCACGGGATGATGATTCCTTTGTCCCGGGGCTTGTTTAGTTCCCCTTTAAAACGTCAAATTTTTTAAGATTTCCTATCACATCGAATCTTTGAACACATGCATAAAGTATTAAATATAAATAAAAAATAAAACTAATTACACAGTTTAGTCGAAATCCACGAGACGAATCTTTTAAGTCTAATTAGATTATAATTGGACACTAATTATCAAATAACAACGAAAACGCTATAGTAGTATTTTGCCAAAAAATTTGGCAACTAAACTGGGCCCTGGCCACCGCAGCCAAACAGTGTGTCAAATCTCGCACGGCAACGGGGCCTGCGCTGCGTACGGAGTACGGTGGTGCCTACTGTACTCCTACTCCCGATCCCGACTGCAAGTCGTGCCGATCAGGCAAGTGTGACGTCAGTGCCCACATAAAAAAATGACGGTTTACTACGTTTTGTTAAAACATGCATTTAACCTAACACCCGCTGAAAAAAAATGGATTGTCAGATCAAGACAAAGTTCAGAACATCAAAAATGGGTACCGGCCTACCGGGTATAGTATCGATTTGTTCTCTCCCCAATCATGCCTTTGCCTAATGCTTATCCCCGTCGATGAAGCCCAGAGGAAGCGTATGATCGCACGCACAGATCGCACGAAATCCAGAGGCGTTGAATACGTCTAATCTAATCTACTCGCCCTTACGACCTGCACCAGATAATCATACGATCCAGATTCGGATTAGCGCATTTGTTTACTACGCGCCGCGACAGATATAAACAAAACAATTAAACAACTGCAAAGAGGCGACGCGTCGATCGATGCAGATGTATAGTACTCCTGCAACCCTATCCTCTTGCGCCTCGTTGATTTGGGCTAGTTTAACTTATAAGTCATGACTGAAAGTACTGTTGACTGATTTGGTGTGAGAGAAAAATATTATTCGTTGGTTGATAAGCCATAGCTTATAAGCCAGATATGAGCAAGTGAACAGGTTGATGCTCTTTGCTTCCTGCTTCCCAAATCCCCACTTATCCCATCTGAGGGCCTGTTTGGAACGCAGGAATATAAAATAAAGAAATGAAAAAAAACCGGAGGAATAGAATAGAGAAAAAAGTAGAAAATTACGGGATTTGAAAACACAGGAATAAAAACTTTGAGGTGTTTGGATCACATGAAAACAAAAATGCCACGTGTGCCCAAGAAGCAGGTTCCATGCTTGAGAACTTGACAAAACATTGTAGGAATTTTTCCTTTAGGTTTCCTTGATGCTTATTTCCCTACGTTTTGTGAAGCACGGTTAGGCCCCGTTTGACACGGCTTCGCTTCATCCATGAAGCTTTTTTTTTAGTGCTTCAGCTCCATGAACAGCTCTATAAGTGGAGCTGTAGCCGTTTTGATAAATCGTTTGGCAAAACAACTTCACATAGTTTTCTTAAAATATGCTCTCAGAGAACGCCATGTAGAATGAGGTGAAGCCGAGAGAAGCCACTATTTTGGCTCCTTTCCACCCCAAAGCTCTATGAGAGCACGTTTTTAAGGGCTTCATCGGTGGAACCGTTTTATTTTACCCCGTTTGACAGAAAACGGCTCCAAGCGGCTCCTGAAGCCGCTAGAGAAGCCCTGTCAAACAGGGCCTTAGTCTTTCCTTTGGAAAAGAATGCAGGTTTTCTTTGTTCCAAAGAGCAAGTTGAGGAAACATTCCTATGGAATTCATTCCTTTGATTTTCCTTTGGAAATCCTCCATTCCAAACAGGCCTTGAGATTATACAGATTGTTCGGCAGGCCGTAAACGATTGTGGATTATTTACTGCAGACTGGCTTGGTGTGAGAGAAAAATACTATTTCAGCTTATAATCCACGATCTATACGAGCTGACGAACATGCTGTATCAGCATAAACAACTCCAAAAATGGCGTTTCCATTCCGCAAGCTAGCTGCTGCGATTCCGATGCTTCCCTCTGACTTATCGGCAGATCCGAAACAAATGTTCTGAATCAAGGATGCAACACCCCAAAATCCAAATCAAGGATGGGAGCGAGAGCACTCTTCACGCGTCGCTTCTGCGAAATGAAGCCAAAATGGAGCGTGAAATTTACAGGACTGAGAGTGAGAGCATCAAATCATGCATGATGCATCGCCGTGGTTCTTTCTACGTTGTCAGGTTCCGCTGCCTGGAGACCAACGATGAGACCAAAAGAATCAGACGGGTCTCTGTCCGGAATCTCCTTTTTCTTTTATCTCTTCATCATCAAACTAAAGCTACAATTTTTTTTGTGCCCTTTCTCTCCTCAATAATTACCAGCACTAGTTACTACTACTACTTCGCCGCGGGGAATAGACACCCATCAAAAGGATGAAAAGGAAGGAAAAAAAAACAAAGCAGAACATTTGCGTCCAGTCCCTGTACACACAAGGACCACACTGCAAATTCCCGAAGAACAAAGAGCAAAAAAGAAAGAAATTCCAAAAAAACGACCTCGGTGATGATTAAGCACTGGGCCCACCTCCCTCGCCGTCGCCGGCGAGCTCACCGGTGGCGGCCTCAGGCTGCGGAGGCGGAGCGGGAGCCTCGCGATCGTAGGGGGACAGCCACTTGGCGCGCATGTACTCGAGCTTGCGCCACGGCGGCAGGTGGAGGCCGCGCTTCTTTAGGCTGGCGCGCGCCGCGTCGGCGGCGGCCGCCACGAGGAGGCGCAGGCGGTCGTCCCGCCCGACGAACACCGACGGCAGGCGCTGCAGCACGGCGCGGTACGCCTTGGTGGGCCGCGCCACCTCGAACGCGGACCGGAAGTCCACGTCCACCAGCACGCGCTCGCGTTCGCCGCGCTCCGACGCGGCTGGGAGGAGGACGTCCAGGTATGCGTGCTCCCCGGCGGGGTGGGACGCCGACTTGTCCCAGCGGGAGAGGCAGACCGCCGCGTCGTGGCCCTCCGCGCGGAGGGACTCGGCAAGCAGGCGGAGGAGGTCACGCTTGCGCGCGCCCGACGCGCGGTGGTGCTCCACCAGGGTGGAGACGTCGGCCAGGAGGTTCCGCTCCCGGAGGCTGGCGCAGTGGACGAGCCCCTGCACGCGCGCAGTTCGGAAATGGTAAGCTCGTCACCGGCAACCGCCAAGCCAGGAGGACGACTCCTGACAATTCAGAAGCAGCCACCAGTACAGGACTGTACTGCACTACTACCTTGATGGTCTCCGCGATGTCAGCGGCAGCGGCGTCGGCCGCAGCGGGGCTATCCTCGTCGTCGGAGGTGTCGCCGGCGTGGAAGCAGTTGCAGCACCGCGCGGCCGCTCCCCGCTCGGCGGCGCCGCCGCCGTCCTCCAGGAAGCTCCGCACCATGCCGTCCAGGCACAGCGAGCTGGGCTCCGACAGCTCGTCCTTCTCCCCGCCACCGGGAGGCACCGACGGGAGGCGCTCAGCCGGCGAGACGCGCAGCACCTGGCGCTCGAAGATGCGCTTGAGCCGCGACTTGGGCGGCGCCGCGGGGGACGGATCGATCTGCGCGGCCCTCATATCAGCACAGTACAAAAGCGGATCAAGCTCGGCGGCAGTGGCAGTGGCAGTGGCAGCGGCAGCGTCACTGGAGGAGGCGTCGGTCTTGGTCTTCTCTGGGGATCGCCGCAGGCATACCCGTACCCGTCGCCGGCGATTGGCTCCTCTTCGATCCGTGCGTCTAGGGTTTTCTCCTCTCAATTTTTTTTGTTCCTTCTCCTTTTTTTTACACAGATTTATTTTCTGCTGGGGGTTGATCTCTTCGGAAAAACACGAGGGGAACCGGGTTTTAAAGGAGCCGCGGGCGATGACGTGGCGGATGGAAACGAGGCTGGCCTGCCGGTCAGTGCCGAACGTTATCCTACGTGTCCACCGCTGTGTGGGCTCCTGTGCGAAATGGCCGTGCTACCCTCTCGTGGCCTGTAGTGCCGTGGCGTGCTGCGTTCAGTGGCAAAGCCGCTGATATCTGAAGACGGCATGGGTGGTTTGGGTATTTAGCAGGTGACAGGGGAGACGGCGGCCGCGGCCGGCGTGACCATCTCGCATGCTTGTGCTGTGCAGATTTTTTTTTTGATACTCTGTGCAGATCTTTTGCAGAACGCAGACTACTGGGGCTTGTTTAGTTCCCAACCAATTTTAAAAAAGTGCTATGGTAGCTATCACATCGAATTTTGCAATACGTGCATGAAGCATTAAATATAAACGAAAAAAAACTAATTGCACAGTTTGATGGGAAATTACGAGACGAACGTTTTGAGCCTAATTAGTCCATGATCGAACACTAATTATCAAATAAAAACGAAAGTGCTACGGTAGCCAAATTCTCAAAATTCGCGAACTAAACACAGCCGGTAGGATTGGAGGCAATGGGTGTGTTTGGCCAGGCCACGAGCCGCTGATTTGTACAGCTAATTTGTTGGGAGAAAAAATATTATACCATAACTGAAAGCCGGCTTATAATGGCAGCCGAAAGTCAATAACGATAGTACTTCTTTTTCGTTAAAAAATACTTATATTTATTTAAAGGCATCTGTGGTGCTCCAATTATTGTTCGAGTAGGACGGTGAAAGAAAGGCGTCATTAGCTTGATGTGTTTGTGTACCGCGTTACTTACATTTCAAATGCACGATCATGAACTACGAGTTTCTTTTTTGTTAGAGTAATACAGTAACAAACGTTCATCAATCGATTTCTCCAAACGAAACGCCCTTGTCATCAACGTCAAATGGTAATTTCCCCGTCGAAATTATTCGGAGGTTGCATCGATTCTGAAAAGGGCTTTGATGAGTTCGTCCCACTTGCGGGAAAAGAAAGACCCCGATGAGTTCGTCACTCCACTTGCAGGCGAAGAAAGTAAGAGCTGCTGCCCCGCGTTAATCATTGCCCGTAATAATACTTGCTGCTTCTGAACCCCAATCCCGGCATCCACCACGCCCACTGGATCGTGGAACCGCAAGGCAAGCGCGGAGAGACGCGACGCGGCGGCAATGCTTGGCGTCCAAGCTTGGACGGCCGGCCCGTCCGTCCGCGTGCAAGTGCAAGTGTCCGGGTTGGAGGCATGTTGGCCGCGCGCACACACAAACTTTCGCCGGGTGGCGGGGGCCTCGTGCGTCCCGGTGGTCGGCGCCCAGACCAATCCGTTGCGGAAGCTTGTGGCCCGGCGCTTGCTTGCCACTGATCCTGCAGCGAATCGTGCAGCACTTCAGCAGCAAGGGGATAGATGATAGGGCCAGTACGGCGGCGCGCGGGCCGACCGCTGGCAGGTCGCTGGAATGGATGATCCATGCCGCTAGCGATTTGGTGTGCACGCTGTTCGCTTCAACTTATCAGTCACGGTATCAGCGAACAGTATTTTTCAGCTTGTCTTTTCAGCGAAAGGAATGCGGACAGGACGTGAACCAACGGGCACAAGCGACGCGTGAGCCGTGGGGAACGAGGAGCACAGCACCGCGTGCATTCAGCCTGTTCGTTTCGGCTGAATTGGCTTACAAGTCATGACTGAAAGTACTGCTGACTGGTTTAGTGTGAGAGAAAAACACTGTTTAAGCCGTGGATTATAAGGCAGATACGAGCTAATAAGCCAAAACGAACAGGCTCGTTTTCCCCGGGCACTCGGGCAGGCGAGAGGCGTCGCTTGCTTCTGCACGAGTATGATTGTATGGGCACGTCGGCCGCCCGGGATACATGGGAGTGGCCCGCATGGCATCGAATGGAATGGTGAGAAAGAGGGTCGCAAAGGGTCACTGGTGCGGTGGCGCAGAGGTGAGAGGTGCGGTGAGGTGAGAATGCGTCGTCGTTCGTCATCTTCTCCTCCTCGATCGTCCGTGCCTGGCGCGGTGGCGCAGGGATAGATCCTCTCATCTCCGGGCGTGGCAGATTGGCGCGGTTGTATGTAGGCTCCGCTCCGCTGCCATAGCCCTGCATGATAGATACGCATCGGCCGGCTGTCAAGCATGTAATGGCCGGCATGGCGTGTCTCTCGGTGCCCGCGTCGATGATGCTGGTGATCACAGAATTTGTCCCCAGCGCTCGTAGGCGGTTTATTTGGCCCAGAACCCCAGACTGCCTGTCTGCTTGCCAGAGGATGCAATGGAGGCGAGGCAAACGAAACCAACTAGGACAGCTGAAGAGGTCCAGCTGCCGAATCATCAACTTTCAACTCCTGTTAGCATGGCAGATTGGCAGTAGCAGATGTCAAAATATTGGTACAGTGGGCGAGGGATGGTAAACCATATGATAAATTTTGCATGCACCTGTGTTTCGTTTCCATGGATCTGGCGATCGATCTCACGTACGTAGTCAAACGTGCCGGCCGCTCGGTGCCATTGGTACAGTACAGTTGAACACTAGTGGTACAACTCGTGGCATAGTACACACACTACACAGGCACGAGGAGGCTGTCTGAAAAGGACCATAGCACTAGCAGCGTCGTCTGTCTCCTTTTCGTGGCATGGACGATAACAACAGGTCATGCCCGGCTTTATACGCCAATCAATGAAGCAAAGCGAGGGAGGGCATGGATGATGATGGGTCAGCAGGCAGAGGCAGGGCAGGAGATATGATGTCAGCCTGTTCTCTTTGTCTAGTCCCAGCTTGTTTCAACTTGTTTTAGCTTATTCTCTCTCACAGAACACTATTGAATCAACCGAAATCAGCCGAAATAAGTTCGAAATGTGACCAGCCGAACACGCCTGCAGATCGATCAGCCCGATCCATCAGCGTTTCAGCGTGGAGGATGTGCTCTGTTGACTGTTGCGATCCCCTTGGCAACCAACAAGTGCACCCACCGTGCATGGGCATGGACAAAGAAGCTAAAAGCTGTTCGGCTGATGGTTTCTATGGCTGAAGCTGATTTGTTGTTAAAGAAAATGTTGGCGGCCCAACTACCACAGCTACTTCGAATGAGGAGGCCCATGGACCTCGGGTCGGGTCACGTGTCCGTCGGCCCAATATTCGCTTGGCTGGCGATGAGTGGAAGTGACAATGTGCCTGCGTGCACCTACGGGCAATTGCCGTGTAATAGATATAAGAACCAGAGAGAGAGAGAGGGGATTATCATCATTCATGTAACAACTCTAAACTCTCAAGCACTCAATCCTTCCTCGCCTACTCTCCCTAGCCCAACTTCTGTGCTGTTCGTCTGATTTCCTGCCTCCACTTCTCCTATCCTGGCCCTCTCTGCTAACATTTGGTATCAGAGACACCGATTTTGGGTTCTCCTCTTCGATCCGCTCATATTCCATCGGTTGATTTGAGCAATTGATACGGTTGGCTTGATCTGATTTCTAGCAGTGAGTTGCTGCTAGCGATTCGGTCGCTGTAAATCCCTTCTCCGCTCGATTCGACTTGTGGCTGCGGTCGATCTAGATCCGCCTCAACCTCTCGGCCACAACCATTTCACCAGACGACAGCACCGCCTTGGCGTCATGAATCCGGAGACCAAGCTCATCATCGACGAGATCGCCCGCCGCTTCACCGAGCACGATTTGAAGTGGGATGCGCGTTTCGCGGATCAGGACGCTGCTTTGTCCCTTGAGATCCGCGACACAGTAGGCGACGCGCCTGACGACCGCATGGCGGCGCTGGAGAAAGTCACCGCATCGCTCGATGGGTGGCGACCATCCATCGAAGGAATCGTCGATGACTTGAAGCTTGATGTCTCGAAGTCCAAGCTGGAGGTGTCGAAGATCTCTCGCAACTGGGAGCGTGCAATCTGGATCGGCCAGCGCCCTAAGCGAATGTACTTCAAGATTCATCTGCTCTCTGGCGCTCGTTCATCGGCGCTCCATCTAACACGCCTAACGGGCCTAAATCGACAACCACTACCGGGAGAGTGGATTTGGGGTAGTCACTACCCAAATTCATTCCCCGGTCAAAAATATGCCATTGATCCTTTCCTCCCTCTCCGCGATCATTTTTGCAACCTAATGATGATCCCGGTCCTCATAGTGGTACCACCGGGTGGGGCATAATGGTTTCCCATCACCTAAACTTCCCAAATTTGACTTCCCAAAGTTTGACGGATCCCAACCTAAATCTCGGCTTAGCCAATGCAAAGATTATTTCGAGCTCTATGGTACTGACCTTCACCTGTGGGTTCGTGTTGCTAAGATGCATTTCACCCATGCTGCTAAACGTTGGTACCCTTCTGTTGCGTCCCAACTCCAAAATGCTGCTTGGCCTACTTTCACTCAATTGGTACTTGCTCGCTTTGGCCAGGACGAGCATGAGCTCTTGCTCAGACAGCTTTTTCAAATCCGTCAAACTCATTCTGTTCAGGAGTATATCGATCAGTTTGTTGCTATCGTTGATGACCTCTCAGCCTATGGTGGTACCACCGACCCACTTTACTTTGCTATGCGATTTGTTGATGGATTGAAAGATTACATTCGAGCAGCAGTAGCTTTACATCGCCCACCAAATTTGGATACTGCTTATTTGCTTGCAAAATTGCAGGAGGAGGTCATCGACCCTGCCAAGAAGAGGGACTACAGGTGTGGAGAGCAATTGGGTGGTCCACG